GACAAAGCGTCTGCATGAGCATTCTCCTCTCTTGGGACATGCGTGAAAGTTACCTCTCGAAACCATGCGCACCTTTTCCGCACAGACTGCACATAGGCGCATAGAGCTTCCTCTTTTACTTCGTACACTTTGTTCAGCTGGTTGACCACCAGCGCTGAGTCAGTTTTCACATTAACTCTTTGGGCGCCCAGCTCCCTCGCATAATGAAGTCCGGCCAGAACAGCCTCGTACTCAGCCGCATTGTTCGTTTTGAGGGTTGCAAAACGAAGCGCAATTTCATGAAGGGCGCCTAAAGGGCTAACGAGCACAATGCCGGCCCCGGCGCCTGCCCGACTTGCTGCTCCATCCACGTGCACTTGCCAGCACTCCTCAATGCCCGGTCCTCCGTCGGCCACACCCTCGGCCATGAAGTCTGCCAACACTTGAGCCTTGATGGCTGGACGGGGCGCGTAACTTATATCAAACTCACTTAATTGCACGGCCCACTTCACTAGGCGCCCAGACACATCCATTGACCCGAGAACCGTCCTTAGTGGCAGGTTGGTGAGCACCACGATGCTATGAGCCTGAAAATAAGGTCTGAGCTTGTTCGCGGCCATTACTACCGCCAAAGCTGCCTTCTCTATGGGCGCATATCGCGTTTCATGGCCAATCATGGTGCGGCTGACGTAATACACCGGTCGCTCTTCATTCGTTAGCGAGTCTTTGGATATCAGTACAGCGCTCACAGCGACGTGGGACACCGCTATATATAAGTATAGCACTTCCTTGGCTCTAGGCGCGGTCATTACCGTAGGCGCTATGAGTAGCCCCTTCAATTCTTCAAACGCCTTGTTGCATTCTTCAGTCCATCGAAACTTGGTGGCCTTTTTCAATACCTTGAAGAAAGGGGCGCCTCGGTCCGAGGCTCGCGGAATGAACCGTCCCAACGCCGCCAGCCTCCCCGTCAACACTTGCACCTCTTTCGGCGTTTTCGGGGGCGCCAAGTTCTTGATGGCCTCCACCTGCCTGGGATTAGCCTCAATCCCCCTCTTGGTTATCATGAAACCCAAGAATTTTCCCGCCTCCGCAAAGAACACACACTTTTTGGGGTTAAGCCTCAAATTGAATCGGCGCATTGTCTCGAAAGTTTCCCGGAGGTCCAGGATATGATCTAGGCGCCTCTTGCTCTTCACTATCAAATCATCCACATATGCTTCCACGTTTCTCCCTATCTGCTTGCGGAAGACTTGGTTTACCATACGTTGGTAAGTGGCACCTGCATTCTTTAAACCAAATGCCATGACACGATAGCAAAAGTTGCCAAAAGGTGTCATGAAGGCCGTTTTCGCCCGGTCCTCCTCCACCATAGGGATCTGATGATAGCCTGAAAACATGTCCAAGAAGCTGAGCGCTTCATGATACGCCGTCGCATCTACCAGCAAGTCGATGCGTGGCATAGGGTAAGCATCCGTCGGGCACGCCCGGTTGAGGTTAGTAAAGTCCACGCACATCCTCCAATCTCCCGACGACTTTGGGACAAACACTACGTTGGAGAGCCACGTAATGTACCTTGCTTCCTCCACAAACCCCGCCTCTCGCAGCCTATCAACTTCATGCCGGAGCGCCTCTTCTTTCTCGGGGGTCAAGTTTCGTCGCTTTTGTTGCACCGGCCTTTTACCTTCTTCCACTGCCAGCCTATGAGCCGCAACTTCAGGGGACACTCCGGGCATATCCCGAGCGCTCCACGCAAACAATTCTCCGAATTCCCGCAGCAATTCTATTAAGGGCGCTCGCATAGCCTCTGGCGCCTGTGATGATATTCGTATCATTTGGTCTGGGCGCTCCTCGTCCAATATCACAGCTATCTCATCATCTACCGGCTCCGCCCTGGGCGCCTCCTCCGGACGGATGTCTATGATATTCAGTCTATGCTTCCGGCCCCGACTCTTTGACTCCTCTTCTCTTGCATATCGCGGGACATTCCTTCCTCGCGAGACGCCCACGCCTTGGGGAGCGACGAACTTCAGCGTCTGATGGCACGTCGAGGCTACCCCATTGAATTGCGCCAAAAGAGGTCGGCCAAGTATCACATTGTACGGCGACGGACAGTCAACCATGCCAAATTCCACCGCATGCGTTACGCAATGCGCTTCGTCCCCCAGAGTCACGGGGAGGCGCACGCGTCCGATGACTTGAGCAGGCGCCCCAGAGAACCCGACCAACACCGAATTCGAGGGGCGCACCAACTCAGGTGCTAGCTGCATCCGTTCAAAGGTGCTTTTGAAGAGTACATCCATAGAGCTGCCTGTGTCTACCAACATTCTCTTCACCTTACATCCGGCTATCACCCCTTGTATCTCAAGAGCCTCTTCCGACGGGACTTGGCACGCCTCATCCGGTTCCTGATTAAAGTGCATGTGTACGGATTCACTGGCCTCAAGCAACGCAGCTCGCAGGCGCCTAGATCTTTCCAACTTCTCTCTCAAGTTAAGGGTACCCGTTATGGACTCAACTGTAAGCCTTATACGACTGGGTTCTCCCTCTTGATCCACCTCAAACGGAGGTGGTGGAATAATAGGCGCCGGCTCAGCTTCTGGTTCTTTAAGCGCTTCACTGACCGTGGGCGGCACCACGGTTTGTGCCCTTAGTTCTTCAGGCGCCCTCCTCTGTTCCGGCGCCTGCCTCGTCACATAGGTTCGATGCGTCCAGTCCTCCATCCTTCTAACGAAGTCGTTGAGCATGCCCTTGTCAGCTAAAGTTTGAAGTTCGGACTTTAGTTGGTAACAATCGGCCGTGTGATGCCCCTTGTCGCGATGGAAGTCACAATACCTGTCAAGATTTTTTTCGTTAGGCTGGCCGCGCATGGGCCCCGGCCACCGTATATGGTATCCCCTATCCTTCACATATTGCAGCACATTCTTGAGGGTATCATTGTACTCTGTAAAATTTGCAGCACTCCTCGGCACAGGGCGTGGCGCCTCTGGCCTCCTTGGTGGGACGAAACTTCCGGAACCAGGTCTGGGCGCCTGCCTTACCTCACCTTCATCACCTCTTTGACGCCTCTTTTCAGCCCTTCGCGCCGCCAAAGTTTCTTCCAACATAATCACCTTTTGTACTCTTCGGTCAAGGTCTTCGGTGGATACCACATCTCGCTTGGACAGGACCCGGCATAGCTCTTCGCTCGAGGTGCAGGCATCCAGGCAGACCCCTAACACGGCCGGTTGAACATCTTTGACCGCCATGGCAACCGAGATCCAACGATCGTAGAATTCTCTGAGCGCCTCGCCTTCCCTCTGTTTGACTTTAAACAACGCCCCTATGGTCAATGTTCGACGCTTTCGGCTCGCGAACTTGGACAAAAACAGCTCAGCGAATTGCTCGAAACAATCTATGCGCCCCTCCTCAATTTGGTGGTACCAATCCAAGACCACGCCCGCGAATGTGGACGGAAACACCTTGCACAATGTGGCGTCGGAGCTGTTGTAGAGCTGCATCTTAGTGAAGTAGCTATTCAGGTGGTCTTCCGGGTCAGCCACCCCATCATAACTCGGCAACGGGGGAATCGTAGTTCCCGCTGGCTCCATTAAGATGCATCGCGCCAGGGGCTGCCGAACACCAAACCTTCGAGCAATCCTCCTAGGCGCCCATACGTCTTCTGGGCCCGTTTGCGCGCGCTCGACATTCAGCCTCCCCTCTCGTGGGCGCCCAAACGCGTCGTGCCCCTGCTCGGAGGCGTGCGGCGGTCCGTATTGCAGAGACTCTGAATCTTCCCCCATCCTTTCCCGCTTTCTCGCCCCTGGGCTGTCCATCATTACATCTTCACTTCGTTCCCCTTCCAACTCCCTCTTGAGCGCCGCTATGGCCCGATCTTGATCGGCTATGATTCGAAACAGCTCTCTTTTCGTCAAAGACCCGCTATCATCAGCAGACAGGCGCCTAGGGCTTCCTTGTCCCTCCTCATCCGTACTCCTCTCTTGACTCAGTTGACGCTCGCCTTCATCGTGATCCGAGTTCCCCGACCTGGAATTGCCTTCTCCATCGTTCCCTTCGTTCATGTTCTCCATGCGCCTATCGTCTTCGTGCGCCTTCTCCCCCTTCCTGGCGCGCCAATTGTTTGAGCCTAGATACCTACGAACGCTGATCCTCCACTTTTCCACCTACCCGTCTCTCAGACGCCCGGAACCTGCACCCACAAGCGCCTAAGGGCCTTGGTCGACCCGTTAGCACTCCGAAGCTCAAGTCAGAGCCCTTTTCTAGAGAGATAAGTGTCGAGGAATAGTTTAGTGAGAGAAGCCCACCTGCGTAAATGCTGTCGACTGCCTCTATTTATACTCACCGAACCCAAGGCTGATCTCCGCCACGTCACCTCTCTCATTTAATGCTCTGCGCCACCAGACAGCTAACCGCCCTGTCAGACTCCTGACACCTGACTGACATCCCTCAGCTCTGCCAGGCACCTGACACACGACAGGCGCCCGCAGGCCGTGGTCCACCAGCCAGTCGGCCGCCACCTGGCTTTTGGTGCTCTGTGAGACAGCTAACCGCCCTGTCAGACTCCCGACACCTGACACGAGACAGGCGCCCGCAGGCTGTGGTCCACCAGCCGGTTGGCCGCCACCTGGCTTTTGGTGCTTTACTCTTGAGGTCCTTCTCCTTGTTTGGGCCCAAAGGCCACTAGTGGGTATTGATTCTTACCTTTTTGGGCTTTGCCCCCCAACTCCTCCTTTGGGAGCCCAATCTCCTAGCCTGCTGGGTAATACCCCCAACAAAAACATTTTATGCAAAGATAGTGGAAATCTTCTTCTGAATTACGTTCTTGTGACTTGGACAGTTGGACATCAGACTTTAATCCCGAGCAAAGTTAAATTGGTTCTTTTTAGTACAGGCATGAAACATATAGAACAGCTTTTGCTACGTAAGTAGCATTCTGTTCATTCTTATAATTCCAATGATTATATGTTCATCGCGAGAAGATATATAATTATTTTTTTTCATTTTGAGCAGGACATATATAAAACCAACTAATTAATTCAAACCGAAGCAACTAATTCCAATGATTATTTGCTCACTATATAGCTATGCGCGGAGCTGAACGCTGTATATATAACCAACGAGCTCTCGCCGCCTCGCTATACAAACTTGTTGAGGCTACAGATTCAACAATGTTGTATATTACACTTAATCAACAACAGAATAATATACAAAAGCGATTGAATCAAAGAAACAGGAACAAATTAAGTGCAGAACTTTGATCACAGCGGCCATAAAAAAGGGGCTTGCTACTATAAATGGCCTGCACGACTTTCTCCTTGATCAGCTGCAACAAAACTCACTTCCTTCTTCTGCCAAAAGATTACCCCAAACAACCACAATTAGAGTAGATTAATTAATTAATTAATTACTGAAGCTGATCAAGTTTTTGACTTTTACTGTACGTCTAGGCTAGCTAGCTCTAGCTAAGCTACGATTGGAACACCAACTATTAACTGTAAAACACTACCCTTAACTATATTTTTCCGCACTTTGCTGACTACTGCACACCAACTACGTTAAATTATAGTCAAAAGTTTGAATAAAGACAAGATTTTCCAGTTCCAGGGCCTTTTTTTTTTCCTACCACCTACGAAATTTATACAAGAATAACATTGCAAACCGACAACCCAAGATTCGGTTGTTGTAACGGTGCAGAAGAAAAACATTTTTGCTCAGAAGACCGGGAGCGAGCTAGCGGGGTTCGGTGGTGATGATGAGATGACCCGCTCCCCCACAACAACAAAATCAGTGCAGTGGGTTTGAAGCAAGCTTCCACAAATTAGTTCGGCGATTTATTTTTTTCCTCCGTTGGTTGTTGTTTCTAAGGTTCGAATTCAGGGTGTGCAGGACGTATTATTTCGACATAATCATTAGGTTTATATCTTGGTGTCTTAGTTTGCTACTTCAAAGTAGGAATGACAATGGGCAGGTGTGGGGCGAGTTTTTTGGTATCCAGATCAGCCCCGTGACAGGTCGAGTACAGGTCGGGTAATTTATCACGAGTCGCGAGCCGCGGGAAGGTCGTCCTAATGGGTATGCAATTTATATGAAAAATATTAGAAATATTCGTTATTTTTATTTATAAGACAAAGAAAACAAACAATATTATGTATGATAAATGTAGTTAAATAATTGAAGAAATCGAGGTTTTCACTAATTTATAACTTTATTATTATAGCTGAAATATGATATAATAGAAGGAAAATACTAAGTAATTTTACTAAAAATTACATGTAATTTAGGCAAGAACAGGTCGAGAATCGGACGGGTCAGGGCATGTCGGATCGATAAGAGTACCCATGCCCCCCCCAAAAAAGGCCAAACAGATGGGATAAAACGAGTCAGGTCGAAATTGTCATCCCTGCTTCTGAGTGTATTAAAACTAATTATTATTAGTTAATTAATAATATGATTAGAAAATGATAACACTACTAGTCTACTACCCGTACAGTGCGAGATACTGATACAATATTATTGGATACATGGACGCCTCCACTACTACTACTATAGCACCAGATATGATATGGGGTTTATGAAATAATAATAATAATTATTATTATTATTATTATAATGATGCATATCAGATATGGGTGCCACGTACTTGTACAGATCCAGATTATGGGCTGGATTCTGATATAAAAAAAAATTCATAAATATATCTAACAGCTCGTTTTCTTTGAACTTTGAAAGCCTGATCAGTTTTTTGTTGGGTGCAGACAAAGGCGTCGTTAGGATTAGGAATTGTTTTTCTTAATGTTTACTATAATTAAGCTTAGTTCATATTTGACTCCATTATTGTTCTCTTCTTTTGTTTATTTAATTTTCTTTTTTCGTTCCTTTCTGATCTTTATGTTACGTTTGGAACTTCAGTTGGGTTTACATTATTAGGGGAGTATGCAAATTGTTTTATTTGGTTGGTACCGGTACGTAAACTTGTTCAACTGAATTGGTCAATGTAAATTAAATAGGTAAAATGCTGTATATAGAGGAATCCAATAAGAAAACTACCAACCAAGTCTTTTATCTTTTGTCCTAATCGGATGGACTAATATGGACCACTTTTGTTTTTATCATGTATGAAAAAAAAATACTGTCGGCACGTACAATTTATGCTACTAATAATAGTTTTCATGTAGTTAAAAATAACTTGATTTTACAGCAGCTACACAATAGCCCGTGATTTAATGAAATTGTATTAAAAAATAAATTAATCATTTGACAAAATTATGTAAAAAAAAACTGAAAATATCCATAAATATTATACTTTTTTCCACTACAAATTACGACAAGAAACATCACTCTCTTGCCTAACAAAAAAGAAAAGGAAATTCGCTATCTTTTATTGCCATTTGTCCCTTTACTTCTGGCTCTCAGAATTTACAAACAATGGGCCTAGCCTAACTACAGACGAACTAGAAACCACCATCAAAAGCTGCTTTATGTCAATTTATTCGCACTCGAAAAAAGTTCAAAAATTATCGCTTTCGTAAAATCACAAATATTCCTGTAAATCTTATAAATTAAAACCTCTACAATTGCCTCCTTTTTTTTTCCAACTTCAAATGGAAAGGTGATAAGCGAGCACTACTATGATGATGATTCAGTATAGTTCATGCGCAATAATATAAAAATATATCACCGAAAGGAGATAAATAAATAAATAAAATCGGTCGTTGGTTTGGTCCCATGAAATAATTCTTTTCCTAAATGGTCAGTATAAATTAATTTACGTAATTAGTTAACTGGCAAACCAATTAGTTGTGTAAAATAATGGGGGGAAAAGACGGAACAAACCTCGTGCATCTTCAAACTTTCTTCAATGCTCACGAGCTCCGGCCGCCAGTGAACATGCCGCTGCGAGTTTCCCCTGCTGCCGCCGCCAATCACCGCGCCGGAATTCCCCATATAGAGATCGATAATCTTCTCCGCCACCTCAGCACCGCCGCTGCTCTCCGCCACCAACCGCTCCACCTGCGCCCTCGGGAGCCGCACCTTCACGCGCATCGACCCGCTGGGGCCCACCTCGGCCTCGGCGGCGCTGGTCCGGTTCCCGGTGAGATCCGACACGGATCGCTTGGAGAGCATGAGGAAATCGAGGCGGTCCTTGGCGCTGACGTGGATCCCGGATCTCACGCGCCGAGCCCCGCGTTGCTCCTGTGGCTGCGGATTTGAATTTTCCGGGAGTTTGGGCAGCTCGACCAGAAAGTAGATCTTGTTGGGCTTGAGGTCCTGGCCGGGCTGGAGCGGCCGGGCCCGGATCCCGAAGTTCTTGACGGCCTCGGAGTCCAGGAGGACGTGGCCCGGGTAGTCCCTGACGGCGTCGTTTGCCGTGGCCGGCGTCTTCAGCTTGAACGTCTCCCCGGTCACTTTCATCACCTTCGCCGCCTTCTTCCCCCTGCCGCCGATGCTGTTCCCCATTTCTCTGGGTAATTAAGATTTTTAGGGGTTAATAATGAATTATGGATTTGGATTTGGATTGTGGATATATTTATATGCGGGGTGGGTGGTGGCGGGGAAGAAGAGGAGAGAGAGAAGAGGCGTGCGGGGTTGAAACGAAGTCGTTTTTGTTCTAGATAAGAATGATTAATTAGATGGGGATTTAAGGAGTGAGGTGTGAATCAGTGGAAAATTCCTCTCACGTAAGAAAGTCGCTTCTTCTTCGTGATTGATATATACACAGTGAAAAAAGTGTGAAAGCTTTTTTTTTTAATAATCAATTATTTTATCATATATGTGAAAAGAAGTGGGACAAGCGTGAGTCGACAAAAGGAACAAAAGAGAAGATAAATTATTTCTACCTTTTATCTAGTTTATTCAATATCTCTTGATGCTTATTTAGCTCGGAAGCTTGACTCTGTCGTATTGACGGATCGAGATACAAATTGAACTTGTATGATAACGCGTTATAAAGTATAAGTTCAGTTTGTACCGTGAAAGAATTTGTATTCGTATGTAATAGTACAAGTTCAGTTTTTATCATAACATAAATATAAAAATTCAGCTTGTACTATAAAAAATATTGTCGTTTGTGTTATGGTGCTAGCTGAGTTTGTACCGTAAATGAATTTTTACAAAATAAAGTATACCAACAAATGAATTTTGTACAATAACATTAAATTTAAATGTGTATTTTCAATTTGTACCATAAATATTGTTTTTTAAATCAAAATAGTAAATACCATGTAAAATTCCTCATTCAACAATCGCGCGTGATGACAACCCTTTGAAGAAACTTCGAAAAAATTTGTTTCTGGGTGAAATGAATTAATTCTTACCTCATTCGATTTCACACAATAAGGCATATGATTCCGTTGAATGGTAAACTAATTCATCGTATCTAATTAGCTTATTAGCATTGATTTTAATATCTTAATAAAATAGCTTTATCATCTTGCGAATTGAAGTTGAAGTTTCAACGAACGTAAAATAATGGAGCGCAGCAGAACTACGAAAAGTAGTAATTGGGTGCATAAACAATTATTACTAATGACAATCCCATGCATGCTACATAGTTCTGTAAAGTGTAAAAAGGATCAACGTAATTTCAAACTCTTGACGTTTCATTCATTATTTCCAGGAATTTGACTCTAAGCTATTCATCAAAAACAAAACAAAATTTTAAAATGGTTGACCTCTAAACGGTAAAAGGGAGAATCGGGGAGGATTCTACTTGGAACCAGCTAACTTTGTATTGTACATAGTCATGAGCCATTTGAGTTGCCAATAACAAATCAAATAGTAAGCTAGACATGTACTTATATGGGCTGGCACTAGATTTTGGAATATAATTTTCTTTACTAGTATGGTTCAAGAAGATGCGTTTAAACTCTTGCCCCTAAGCGTTAGATAACCTCAAGTAATATGAATAAGTAATTTTGGCCAAATCACACGTTTGGCAAAAAAATGAGGTAATTTGAAAGGAGAATGTAAAATTTAGCTCTTCTATTTCCTCTATGCTAACTAAAACTGTGTGAGCAGAATAGCCAACCATTTCGGAATGCGAATTGAGTAATTATGGTGGTTACCAAAATCTACAACGTTCATTATCTCTATTTCACTCTATTTTTAAATTGAAAGTAAAGATTAGATTAATGGTAATTTTGAGAATAAAAAAAAATAACATCTAATTTCTATCCTTTAAAAAATCGATTTCTATATATTATACCCAAATCCTACTGCAACTCCATTCTAGCTTCATCGACGTCAACACCTCCGCCTTTGGTGGTTCCCTTCCTCCCGCTGCCCTCCTCTCCTCTCTCTCTCTCTCTCTCTCTCTCTCTCTCTCTCTTTCTCTCCCTCCCTCCCTCCCTCCCTCCCTCTCAATCTATCCATCGTAGATCAGGAGAACATAAAAATCTTGATCTGAGTTTTTTTAGTTTTGGTGCTCGTTCATTGTATTGTTTTATGAAATAATATAGTCTTGTTTTTCATAATGATATTGATTTATTTCAGCAATGGTATTGTTTTGATTTCACAATAGTAATGGCATTGGTTGATTTTGGTATTGGTTTGACTCTTCTAATGATATAGATTGTTTATATAGGTAGTTTTAGTGTAATGGTGTTGTTTTTCATAATGGTATTAATTTATTTCTACAATGGTATTGGTATTTTTTTAAGTGGTAGTGAATGTCTGATGGATTGGTATTGATTTCTTGTTTTATTTTTGTAGTTGTCTTATTCCGACTGAACGGAGTCAAGGAAAATATTGAGAAAAAGAAGGAAGAGAGATCTTGCTAGAGATAGTGAAAGAGAGAGAAAATGTAACTAATATGTTTTTATGCTTTGAACTACCAAACTCGATTGACAACACTCAGTTTTGGAAGAATAGTGTAATGGCTATGGGTGAAGCGGGTAGACGGAAAACATTGACCATTCGATATGTTTGGATACCGTGCTTACTTTCATCTGTTGTGAGTTTCTGACTTTTCCAATTAGTCTCTATGTTTTGCATGTTTTATATGAGATGAATTGTATCTTTATAAAAGAAAAATCATTCTACCTGACTAGTAAAATATAAGAATTTTGCCATAACAATTAAAGCGTGGGTAAAATACCAAAATCGTGAGAGGCAATCACTCATTGCACAGGGGTACAAAAAGTACAATCTCCCGCTGAGTGAAGTGACATTTGAGAATGTGCATAGAGGGCACCCATCTAACACTCATCTATAGCATTGACCCTCCACACGGATCGAGTAAAAGGAGTTAAACCAGGTTCTTATGTGAGCGCTAAGAAGCAAAAATTGCTCATGCTCGGTCACCGGTAGTAAGAAACAAATCCCACTTGTACTAAATACGACTGCTCGGCAAGCAGAATCAGAAAGAGATAAAAGACTCTCTTTGTAAGAAAATGTAGTGATGCGCTTAAAGTTAATATAAAGTTTGCTAAAAGCTTCCCCATGAGTTTTTTAGAATCTCATGCTTAATTGGTTACTTATGAATGATGTGAGTAAGCCGGATTTATTTTGATTAATTGTTGCACCGTAAGTTGTTAGTTACCCACTACAGACGATCGAATTTTAGTGTTGCTAATTTGGTAAGTTGCATCAGATTTGAGTCAGTCAATGGTAAATCCGTAAATGGTTGCAAAGAACTTGAAAGAGGGGTGAATGATATGATCATTAAAGCACAGCTCATCCATTGGGAAATAAACTAATGATTATCACAAGAGTACAAGGGTAAATTTCTGGTCATGATGTTGTGTTTTGTGTGTCGATCATTGGTTTTTGTGTTTTGAGCAGGGTTGTGTCTCCCTGGTATGTGTTGAGTTTCCTCCAATTGTAGTTCTTATACTTGAGTCGCTGCTTAGGGACAAGCAAGTATTGAGTGTGGGGTTGTGATATTGACGAAAACATATTGATTTTGAGGCTTAATGTGATTATTTCATGATATGTTTGAGATATATGACACTTGTTTTAGGTCTGATTGACTATGGAATGGTTGAAAAGCCATTACCATCCTGTGTTAGAGTTTTTTTTATGTATTTTAGTTGAGGAAAATGACACCACATACAGATTGCAAATTTTCAATAGGACAGGCAAATGAAAAAAAAAAAAAAAGTATAACTTGGTGGACCAGGACTTTGGGATCTGAATTCTGATTATGTAGCAAGCAGTTGGGCCAATTGAAGTCGACCTGTCAGCCCACAAGGAGTAATTGGAAACACACACAAGATTGGAAGGAATTAATTCCCTAATCATAAGCCACTGGGCCGGCCCTTTTATTTTTTGCTGTTGGTCCACAGAATTCTTTTGGCAGAGGGGGGATAATGGGAGAACGGCCCGGGGGACAATTCTTGGATTACATTGGGAGGATCAGGAATTTAGAATTATTTGGACCGGAATAGGGGAGTGCCGCGCGGAGTTGCTTGGTGGCACCAATGATACGTGGTTAATTAGGTTATTAGCGGCAGTGGGCTCATTAGTGATCACTTTTTATTATCGGTTTTCAGGCCGAACAGTTATTTCATTGAGCTACGACGGTTGGATTTGTAATTGATTGTTTGGTACGTAGTAATTCCCAATAGAGATAGTTGGCACAATACTGATATCCTTGGCTGCAGAGAATTGGATTAAACTGATTAGAAAAGTGAATTAATTTGGATATGATAGGTAGTGAGTCCCGGTGTTTCTCTCAGAGTTTTCTCCATTGAATTTCTCCCTGCCGTTTTCATTTACTTAATTTGTTTATTTTATTGTGCTTTTAGAAACTAGTCTCATTAAACCATTTTGACTTATAGTTTGCTCCATAAAATTGATAGAACTTAGCATTGTATCAGTTCCTAAGAGACGATATCCTGATTTTCGGCTAGGACAGCACAAGCCAAAGAACAAAACCTCCAAAAGAAAGCTAACTAAAAAAAACTAACACCACAGATCAGTCTTGCTGTTTTCGGCGGCGGCGGCCGATCCGTGTTTCCTGGTGGCTCTTTCTCCGACGGTGGTTCTCGGTTTGGGTGGCTTCGATGGCAACGAGTCCTGGGGGGATGCATGCGGCACCAAACACTTTATGATTGGGCCAACTGGAATTCGGATTTCTGGGGTAAGTAGTGGGGTCCATGTGTTTGGACTGGACTTTGGGCCTCGTTAATTTTGGGCTACTGTTGGCTTACTTTTAGATTCCCTTTTTCAATAGGTGTTTTTCTTACTTTCGGTGTTGTATTACTCTGTACACCGTGTTTCGTATTAATAAAACGATCACTCCACTATCAAAAAGTTACATATCTACTCTGTATAGAGAGAAAACATAATTTTCTTACAAGGTGTAAAAGCATTACACGACATCCCACATCAACTCCTGAATCCAACTCCAATGAATATGAAATAAAAATGTTAGGCTGATTCCAACAAAGAGAAAACATAATTTTGTAACATTGAAGCAAAAAGGATGAAAATGGGGATAATCTCCAGATTTGGAGATAAAAGTCCACAAATTTTGGTGACTTACATTGGAGATGGCCTAACCAAGCGTGCAACCAAAAACATGTCACTCACGTATTGGCGACTAGGCAATAGGCATACTATATTCCATAAAACTGAATAATAATAATAATAATTA